TCTGAGAAACAAACTGAGGGTTCTAGAGGGGAGGGGAGTGGGGGGATGGGTTAGGCTGGTGATGGGTATTAAAGAGGGCACGTATTGAATGGAGCACTGGGTGTTAATACACAAACAATGAATCATGGAACACTACATCAAAAACTAATGATGTAATGTATGGTGATTAACATAATAAAATTAAATTAAAAAAAAAAAAGAATTATGTGCTGGAGGGCACCTGGGTGGCTTATTCAGTTAAGCGGCTGCCTTCGGCTCAGGTCGTGATCCCCAGAGTCCTGGGATCGAGCTCCGAATTGGGCTCCCTGCTCAGCATGGAGTCTGCTTGTCCCTCTCCCTCTGCTCCTCCCCCTGCTTATTCTCACTCGCTCTCTCAAATAAATAAATAAAATCTTTCTGAACAAAAAGGAACTAAATGCTAGAATGCAGAGTAGATATAGGTGAAAACATACGTCTTCCCTACTTAAAATTTTCTGTTGCCTTTTGTTAGCTGTCAGGACAAGACCCAAAGTCTGTGCCTTAGTACCTGAAGCCCTTTGTAATCTCTCTGCCTAGTGTTTTCTCATTTTTAGTTCAGCCATATCAGATTACTTTGTTTGTTTTGCCCAACTTTGTTCTGTGTTTTCTGTGCCTAAAAGCTTCTTCCCTTTTCTTCTTAAGTACTATTTGCTTTCCAGTAGTTAGGTTAAGCATCAGGTCTTCTCAAGGTCATTAGTTGTTATCCCGCCCAGTCCTTCCCAATCTAGTTGTTTTATTTCCATGGTTCCATATTACCTAATAAATCTGTTGTTACTGTTTACTTATCGCCACACATTAACACTACTAGTCTTAGCACTAGTCTTAGGGTAGATACTTTTACTTGATTTTGTTTTCCTGTTACCTAGCACATAAATGACAAATGTATTAACATAAGACTGGAAGGGGAAATTAGGATCAGTTCAAGCAATATCTTGAATGTTAGATTCAAGAATGTTTGTACCTTATTTTGATATATACTAGTTAACCACTGACGGTTTTTTAGGATACTAAAGTAGATTATATACACTATGCAATATATTAAAAGGGGAGAAAATGGATGTGGGGAAATTCACCAAGAAGCTGTTGGAAATAGTCCAAGTGGGCAGTCATATAGGTTTGAAATAGGGGGGTGGCAATAGAATAGAAAAGAAAAAATAGGGTGTGCTGACTGACCACAAGAACTTGGCACTGATGCGGACTGAAGGAGAGAATGCCTGTTTTGTTAGAAAAGGAGAGTGATGCAAGAGAAGGAGGAGACAAAAAAGATTTACAAAAAAGTTTTCAGTCTCAGAAGTAATACCTGGCATTTTTCTTTTCTGTGAATTATTTCAAATAATCTTCAGGGTAAGTATTTTGCAGTTGCATAAACTATAGTTAGTTTATGATATCAGATACACTATTGAAGTAAATAAGATAGGACTCGAACACGAATCATGGGCCAATCTGTGTGTGCCTCTGCCTTTAGCTATGATATCATTGTTCAGTTAAAGGTCCCTAAAGTTTACATGAACATTGAAGCATTCTTAAGCATCAGAAATTACTGACAACTCTAATTCATATCAAATCAGACTTTCTAGTAGTACTTGGTACATGTTTAGCATACAAAGTCTATCCCCTTTCTCCCTTGTCCAAATCCCAGCTTTACATGAAGGGCTTTTTAACAGGAAGGGAAACAGTAGCCTGTTGCCACTGCCTTCATTCTCTACCCTATTATATTTTGAGGAGATTCCTAATGGGAAAGGATTGAAGCTAACGTGTGACTTGGTATATATTGTCAATGTTAACCATAATTCCCTTTCCCTCCAACTCTTATAACTGTGCTCATGAAACTTTAGGGAAATAAAAAGTAGTTTCTCATAAATAACTGGTTAAACACATTTAAAGATGTTTGAATGTATTTGGAAACAAAAATTTATCTTCCATTTAGTATGATCCAGAGCTGTCATCTCGACAATTTGGGGTTGAATTGTCCCGTTTGACCAGCGAAGAACGAACTGTTCCTTTAGTGGTGGAAAAGCTCATAAGCTACATTGAAATGCATGGACTGTACACAGAAGGTATTTACCGAAAGTCTGGTTCAACTAATAAAATCAAGGAGCTTCGACAAGGTCTAGATACAGGTAAGATGGTGCTCTCCAAATCAAGACCAAATGGTTTTATTTAAATAGATCATTTCATGCTTTTAAAATTTTCATTACATGTTAATCTTTTTCTTGCAGCCAGAAGAATGCCATCTTTTCTGTGGTGCTTGTTAATCATTTTGTGGCTTTCTAGAAGTCTTTGTTTTTGTGTGGTCAATTCAGCAAATATATATTGAGTGTATCATTTGTACAAGGCACTGTTAGGTACTTGACACAGCTCTCATTTAAAATCTTAACAATTTGGTAAGATCAGGGTATCTGTAATTAACAAAGAAGAAATTTTAGGTTCAGCGAAATTAAATGATCATCTGTTGATGATGTAGAGCAGTGTGCTGATGGTTTTATGCTAATCTTCACAACAGTCCTATGAATTAGGGATTATCATCCCTGTTTACAGAGAAAGAAACTGAGGCTTACAGAGGATCTTGCCCAAAGACTCACCACCAATAAGTGAAGTGATCCAGCGGGCATTTAACCCTAGATGTTCTGAATTCATAATCTAAACTATTGCCTGTTAGTCTCCATTACTCTGACTTGAAGTGTCTTTCTGATGCATGTTCTCACCTTCTTACATTCATGACATAGTTATTTAAACTGTTAATTAGTGGATTGAACATGTACCTGTGTAGAGCTATAGCCTCAGTCCTAGAATATATATGCAGGAGTTGGACTTTGGTTTCATTGTCAACTTCTACTCTTTACCACTATAGGGAAGGAATAGATTGTTGTTGTTGTTGTTGTTTAAAGATTTTAGTTCTTTATTTGAGAGAGAGAGAGAGAGAGCACGAGCAGGGGGAGGGGCAGAGGGAGAAGCAAACTCCCTGCTGAGCAGAACTCCGGGATCATGACCTGAGCCCAAGGCAGAGGCTTAATTGACTGAGCCACCCAGGTGCCCTGAAATAGATTGTTTTGAATCACACTTAGATACAAAGCTTATCTCTGTGTCTCCAAGAACCTACCCACATGCTTTTTCTTTATAGTTTTTTTTGTTTGTTTTGGTTTTTTTTAATGAGCAAATCAGGGAGAGATTAGTCAGTATGGAAATAACAACAGAAAATGCTTGGTAAAACTCAAGCAGGACAACCTGCCTACCAGAGATTCTGTCTACTCCAGGTTAAAGGCAGTTGACAATTGATCTCTTGTACCTTGGGTCAGCACAAGTGAAAAATCATTCATCCTGTATCCTCCCAGTCATTTCATTTGTATAACCTTGCGGAGTTTATAAGTGAAACAGAGTAAGGGTATGTTCATTACATTTCCTGTGGTCACTTATTACTGTCCTTTCACCTTTAAAAATGACTTAAAATTAGGGCCTTTTTCCCATCTGCCATCCAAAACATTGCTACTCAAAGTGTGGCTCACAGATCAATCCACAATGTAAGTACGGAAATTGAGAGCAAGCATTTAGAAACATCTGTAGTGGTATTTAACAGTTCTTTAACACGAAAGCATGTGGTATTTTATTTTACATATCTGTCAGTCTGCAAGAGATTTGGAAAACAGAAAGCTGTTCCTTTACCAAGGTTAGAAGTGCTATTCCAAAGCATGGAATTAGATCGTAGAAGATATTAGTTTGATTAAGAACATGAAGGCTTCTTTTGGTGCTCATAGTTTCTAAAGTGAATTATTTGAAACTCTTTGCATGTTTTGGCTTTGTTGTCTAACTCTTGTCTCTAAATAGATGCTGAGAGTGTAAACCTGGATGACTATAACATACATGTCATTGCAAGTGTATTCAAACAATGGCTTCGTGATTTGCCCAATCCACTCATGACCTTTGAACTCTATGAGGAATTTCTTCGAGCTATGGGTAAGCACAGACTTCCTGGATTTGAGGGAAGGCCTACACTTGGGAAAGGAATGCTGTCTTCATTATAGATTATTTAGCCATCCTCTAATGGTTTAGTCCATAGAGATCCAAAAGTAAGCTTTTGACAGTCAGTACAGAACTGCTGGTGTACTCTCACCTACTCAAATATTGACTTTTGAGAGAGTCATTAAAATGTCAGTATCCTGAAAGGTTTCTGAGAAAGTCACTTCGTTGCTTCTCACAAAGAGATTTCAAGACTAAGATTATAAATAAATTAAAAGACTAAATAGATTGAAGGGCTGGCTTATATTCATTTACATTGTGAATCTAGGCAAGAACTCTGCTATTTTATGCCAAACCTCCCAGGTGATGGAGTTTAGTTTTTCAGTGCTACAGTTGTGTAGAATGTTGCTGGAGGCCTGCCTAAAAGTATTTAGGCCCTGAGGCATGACTCCTCCAATTTCCATAAGACTGATTTTATAAACTATATGGCAATTAATTAATTTTAATAAGGAATCAGTCTGCCACAAAATGCCTAAAAAACAGGGCATCTCTTTCCCTTTGCTCTAATAAGGATTACTGGGATATAGATTAAAACTCACGGACTATTTAGTGAATATAGAACTCAAGCAAAGGAAGATTAGTGGTAACTGAGCTGCTCTTTTCCTGCCATACAGGTACACCTGCCTCTCTTTAAAATTTTGAGCCAGGTTCCCCTGCTACCTACTGTCTGCTCAGGAGGAAGATGTAGCATACGAGAGGGGATATTCAATCTTACTGGCTATCCTTAATCTTTTTAGGCCTTCAGGAGAGGAAAGAAACAATCCGTGGTGTATACTCTGTGATTGACCAGCTCTCCCGAACTCATCTCAATACACTGGAACGCCTCATCTTTCATCTAGTCAGGTAATTTCAAGGAACAAGGGAATGTATAATAGTTTTTCCTGGATTCTTTTCGATAAGTGAAGAACTCCTTCGTTTGGAAAACTGACAGACCTTTTTTTTCCTGTTTATAAAGCTAATGCCTCAAACAGGTGCTTACAATTCCCTGGAGCAGAAATCCTCAGCTAAGTTGGGCTGCAGAGTAGGAACTTCTCTGCCCTATTTGAGCCATGTAACAATTTCAGCTAATGGTGGCACTGTGTAGCCTAGCCTGTTCTCATTCCTGAACTAGAAAGTAGAAAGGAGGTATATGTCTTGACATAACCTAATTCATAGGAGGTGGGTTTAGGTGGGGCTCAAGAACTGACTGACTGAGTATAAATATCTGCAGTGGTTGGGAAGAAAGCCATCTTTATTTTGATTAGATAAATCTCTGGTAAATATTACATAAATGTTAGATGAATATCTGATATGACTGTCTGAGAATGCCTTTAAGTCTCTACTCTGCATTCTTCAGACACGTTCATCAGGTGTATGGCAGTGGGTCAGAAATTCCCTTGATAAGCTATCTGCTGGCCTGTATTGCTTCAAGTAAGGAACAGAGTGGAAATGCATTTTCCAGAGGCAAAGGAACAGCTTTGGGAAAAGTCTACAAGTGTCTCCTTTCACCTGATATGAATATCCTTCCAGTACTCTGTGGTTGATGTCATACGTATTCTTTCTCTCGTGTCCTTTGTCTACGTCCTTACTATTTTCCCTTTTAATCCCCACTTCGCCTGGTTTTTTTTTATTCCTTAGGATTGCTCTACAGGAAGAAACGAATCGAATGTCTGCTAATGCTTTGGCGATTGTATTTGCCCCCTGCATTCTTCGATGCCCTGACACCATTGACCCACTACAAAGCGTGCAGGACATCAGTAAGACTACCACGTAAGGCCAGTTACCATCACCTCCACAAGATCCCAGGGACTTCTGAGTCAGTGTAGCCACTTTATCCAGATATCAAACATAGTGAATGATTTCATAAGTTCACATGTTTTTAAGAAGATTACTAGACACTGTTGGGTTTTCTTATGCTGAGTATGAAAAATTTCTTTAGGTTCTCTTCAACTGGACATCATTTGTTTTGAAGGGTCCTTTTAAATTTAGCTTTTCCTTAGGAATGTTTATATTCTCTAAAAATATTTTAAAAATTCCATTTTACCAAATTACATATACTTTGTCTCTTCCTGTAATCTAGTCTAACTGGCTCTGAATCCCTTTGGCCATAGTACTTCAGTATTTCTGTATTTCACTTTAGCCTTTTTTTATGGCCCTCTGCTTTCCTTCTAGATTAATGATTCTTAACCTTGGCTACAAAAGGAGCTTTAAAAAAATCCTGGTGTTTGTGTCCTATCCCTAGAGAGTCTAATTTAATTAGTCTGGGGTGTAGCCTGGGCGTTGCAACTTATAATTGCTTCTCAGATGGATACTGAAGTGCAGCCAAAGTTGTGAACCACCATTGTATAAATCTTGTCTTAGAGCTCATAAAATAAGGAATGTTGATTTTTCTTTCATCCTCCAAACGTCTGCCACATTTAGCTGAAAAGCAGTGTGGGAGGGCTACAATTTATTTGACTTACTTCAGCTCTTAACGGTTTTCTCTTTTTCCTCCTATTTCAGCTGTGTGGAGCTGATTGTTGTAGAACAGATGAATAAATACAAGGCTCGTCTCAAAGACATCAGTAGCCTGGAATTTGCTGAGAATAAGGCAAAGACCAGGCTGTCACTTATTCGTAGATCAATGGTAAGAAGTCAGATGTGGAGTCCAGGGGAAAATGAGAGCCTTCCTGATGTTTTAAGTGTGCATTTATGGTGTAAAGAGAGATTATTCTCCAAATCTTATTTACATGGAACAAGTAAAAAGAAACCACTTTATCTCAGGGTACTATGGATGCCTCATGTTTGATCTTTTAGCCTTCTTTAGTTATATGTACAGAATATATGCAGTTAAATGTGTAGAATTTTTTAAATCAAGTATTTGGATAAAATGTTGGTGGTTCATTAATCTGTCCTGTTTTCTTTTTCTGTCCTTTGTATGAAAATTTAACCTATCCTAACTTTTTCTCTACTTCTTCCGCCATCTGTTCCCACCCTCAGCCATGTCACCTTTGATGTTCCTGGCAGTACTTCTGCGATGTAGAGAACTTAATCATATGCAAGAATGTGATTCATAAGGAAATGGAATTCCATCTATGAGTCTACTATTATCAAATAAAGATTTTTAAGGGTTTATTGTTAGGTTTTGGGAAAAGCCTTGCAAAAATGATCATTTATTTTCTCCATTTGCCCATTTTTCTGTTTAATATCTTCCTTTGTAACCAGTAACAATCAGTTCTTACTGACCAACAATCAGTAGGGTCTGGATAACTGGAAAACTGCTGCATTAAAGTTTAATCATTTGCTACCCCTCCCCTCAGCTGTAAAACAAAACTGTAGTAATGAGACCCAGTCAGATTCCCAGTAAAGCTCTAAAGAGAAGCAGGCTTCCCTGTCATCATGTGCATGCTTTTCCAGGGACCCAGCAATACTTCATCCATATCTTCATGATTTATACTTAGATTAAAATAACTCTGTTTCTTTGTTTAATACTTAAACTGCCTGGCACAGAATAAATCCTAACAAATATGTCAGTTGATTAAATTAGTGAAGGGTCTTCTCTAAGAACAAGCATAAACATAGACTTTTTCAGGCAGTAAAGGTATTAATTGTAGGACACTATTTGAAAATGTTTTCCCTAGAAAATGAAAACAGAAACCCCATTTAAAAGTGAAACCCTTTCTGGTAGTCTGAATTTTCAGGAGCTCAGTTCTTAGAGGCCCAATTTAGAAGAAGAAAGAGAAGAGACCTTTTACTCTAAAGCTACTTTTCAAAGTAGCTAGACACACTGTGCTTTTTTTTTTTTTTAATTTTTTTTTTAAACTGATGCTGCAGAAGATGGATATATTCAGTCCACTGAAAGATTAAACCTTCTCTTTTAATGGGGCAATGACATGTACATTCTAACCTTCTGCTTTCCTTTTCATGTCCTTCCTAATCCAGAAACCTGTACTAATTGCAGTTAGATTTATGAGCATTACCCGCAATTCAGTCTCGGTATGTATTAATATTGCAATGTGTCACAACCACTTTACATTATTGTCTCTCATCCATCTAGGAGTTGTTCTGCTCTGTCTATCATCCATGCCTGTCCACCCTCCATGTACAGCCCCAGTTCAGGTCCCACTTCCTGACCAGCCTTCACTTGTTTTTTTCTCTTACTCTCTTTCTGTAGAACCTTCACTTGTCTTCCTCTGTATCATGCAATTGAACAGTCTCCATTTACAATATACTAGTTTTTGCTCTTTGTCAGATAAGCCACTTAGTGGATTTCTTCTTTGGTTGGATCATTAAAAGGTGAACATTGAAAGCATTGAGGTATCAAATTAATTTCTGCTCAAGAACTTTGTTCTTATCAGTCTCCTTCACTTTATTACTTGAAATACCTGTTACTACTTTTAGCATCCTCCATCATTAGTAATGCTTATTTGTCCATTCATATCTGTGACTTTGATGGTGACTTCCCAAACATAGAAGTGTATAGCTCTTATCTGCTTACCATTTTTCAGAAAGAACAGCAAATTGTAGTGAGAAAATTGATAGACTGGTTCTAAACTTAAATATCATAGTAATAGAGCTCATACCAGGATTTCATTTATTATATAAAAAAAGGAATGGCGAGATGGAAAGCTGAGAACACCAGTATATATGGAAACTAATTTCAGAGGCTATCCATCTGTGGGTAACCAGTTCATTCAGGATCCCAATATAAACACAGATTAGTTTTGCTTTTTACCTAGTAACTGCCTGCCAACTCTACCATGTCTGACTCCCCTTTCTGATTGGATGTCAGTCGCCTTCGCAGCATCTTGTCACTATTCTGCAATGTTTAAACACTGTAGTTTCATGCCAGTATTTAAGAATTAGTTCTCTTTGTATTATAACTTGAGTCACAGAATTGATTCAGTACTCTTATCACTTTTTCCTAGGACAGAATAGACCTTAATCTGGGGCTAAAAACTTTAGGGGTGGGTGAGTAGGTTCTTTTTGTCACACACATCTGCCCTCCCTTTTTCTTGTCATTTTTATTCCTGGTGTTGAAACTAGGAGGAGTGATAGTGGAGGCAGAATTCTACATGCTATCCCACTGTTGAGGTAGCAGTCAGTCCTCTTTCTTGGTTGTTCAACACTGCTGTAGTGTCAGGAGCCTAAATGTAGGTGAGTGGTAGTTTCCATTTACCCTGCTAAAAGTGAGGTCAGTCCTGTCCCATTTTATAGGCATTGGCAATCCCTTGGAAGATTTGGTTACATCTTTGGACTAAACCTTTTAATGGCATTCACACCATGGGACTCTGATATGTATGTCTTTTTTTGCCTCAAGACTTTACAATCAAATCTACCTCCCGGGGCGCCTGGGTGGCTCAGTTGGTTAAGCGACTGCCTTCAGCTCAGGTCGTGATCCTGGAGTCCCGGGATCGAGTCCCGCATCGGGCTCCCTGCTCGGCGGGGAGTCTGCTTCTCCCTCTGACCCTCCCCCCCTCATGCCCTCTCTCTCTCATTCTCTCTCTCAAATAAATAAATAAAATCCTTTAAAAAAAAAAAAATCTACCTCCCAGTGCCAATTTTAGGGGAAAGGTTAAATTTTTCATACTTCTTGGAACCAGGCCCCAGGAACCAGGCCATAGTCTTGCCTATCTCTCTACCTGACACTTCCCTACCATACTTTCTCCCTATTTCTCTTTTCCCTTACGTATATAACAGAGGGGCAAATCAGTAAGTCATTTGCCTATACAGGTAACCAAATACGGGTCTGTCTTTTAGATAACCTCAAACTTTGATTCTTACACTCTGGATTCAAGTATGACAACTTTTTTCTCCAGAGGAGAAGGGAATATCCTATTTTCATAAACTCTGTGTTCCCCTTAAAGTCCAATAACCTCCTCTTTCTTTTTAGCCTTTTTAGATTCACATTGAGGGGAAAGTGTTATGATCATTGTTACGATAGGAGCTGGTTCAGTAAACTAGTGCTTCTCACTAAACCCTGAGAGAATAGGTTGGTACCAACCACAGTTGACTTCTTAAGCTAAAAGAAGGGGTACTTAATTATCCTCAGCTTTTGGCCTTAGCCACAATTTTAAAACGGGAGGAAAATCTCCACTTAACGTACTGTTGCTTTTGCATTTGCCTGTAGTTAAGGCTGTGGGCTCAGTCTTAAGAACAAGACTTTGTCTAGCACATATATAGTATTTAGTAAGCATCTATGGAATTGAATCTAAGAATTAAATAGAGATAGCAGTGAGTTTTTAGCATATCCACTACAAATAGACTAATCAAAGTCAATAGTGTTCATGTATTCATAGATGAAAAACATTACTATTCCATAATTAAATACAGTAGTGACTTTTCTGAAATGTAGAGTGAAATGCATTTATGAAAAGTATATTGTATTATTGCCAATGTGAAGAGTCATTTGAGTTGGGTGTTGAAAGATGAGTAGTAATCTAAAAAATGGAGGAAAGAAAGAGGGGAAAGATAATTCCAGAGGGAAGGAAGCATGAAATAACAATCTGTGAATAATAACTACCTTGTGTAGCTAGAACTGGGACAGGTAGTGTGAAAGTAGCAGAATAATTTGGAAAAGTAGATGGGAACCAGATGTGCAACATTAAGAATTATGAATTTGCTGCTTTGAAAGAAAATTTAGGAACTATGGAAAGGTATTTTAAGTAGGGGAGTGTCACCATCAGTGTGTCTTTTGGAAGATAACTGGTAGCATTCTGAAGAACAGATTTGAGATAGGCAAGACTGGCAGTCATATATCAGTTAGGAGGCTCTTGACTCATAAATCACTGAAATAGGTTGAATCCTGATCAATTCATTTTGAAATGATTTTGAAAATACCTGTTCTGCCACCATGCGGAAAGAAGGTCATTAGGTTTATGGAGTATAATCTTTGACTAGGATACCCCCAGACTAGGATTTCAGAATATGATATGCTCATAGTCTCATCCAGTTATGCCTTTCCTGTAACAAATGTTTTTTTATTTATATATGGTATAATTCTAGGCATAAATGTTGATTTAGCACTATTTAAGCTAATATAATATGAAGAATATCATTTGAAAGAAATTTTACTAATCTGTAAAATCTTCACAGATTACTCTCTTGAAAGATGTTATACACAAAGGTTTCCATGGCCAAACAAAATTTAGAATATAGTGTGTAGCACTTCCAAAACTTTGACCATGGAATGCTTTTCTTCATAACATATCTAGTTGAACAAGCATTCTAAGAAAGGCATTTAAAAAAAAACCAACATTCTCATTTTTTAAACAGTATCAGTTGCTACTTTATTTACTTAGTTTGGAATTTATAAATTGCTCTAAGTCTTTTCAAGATTTTACTGCTGTGCTTAAATGCTTGTGAATTTTGCATGTTGTAAGCTTACTAAAGAACTTACCTGCATGCCTCTGTTAGAAATGAGCATACCTTCAATTCTGTATTAACGTGGATAGGTAGATCTGCGGGGTTAAGCTTTGCAGTTGACTACACCAAAAAGATGCTAGAAATGTCCCTCCAAAAGTTAAGTATTAATAATTGGAAAACCAAGAATCAGTTGAAAAGGGGCAGCTCATCATTAGTTTTTGATGTCACTAATGATGTACTATATGTTGGCTAACTGAACATAAAAAAAAAGCCTGTAAAAATAAATTAATAAATAAATAACAAATAAAGGACACCATCAAGAAAGTGAGAAGAAAATCCACAAAAGCAAAAAAAAAAAAAAAAAAAAGTGGCAGCTCTAAATAGCTCCAAAGGAAAGAGATATTACAAGTGTGGATTTACTTGACTCTAGCATTTCCTTACGTTACTGTATGGTATCTAAGTCTATCATTGACATTCAGGTGACTTAACAAGAATCAGATTCAGAGAGTGAAGATTTTCTCAAATTATAGAAGCATTCTTATTGTTTCTGGTACTGACCAGCAGGTATTTTTGTAGTGTTACTTTTTTTTTTTTTTTAAGATATAATTGACATCTAACGTTGTGTTAGCTTTAGGCATACAACATAATGTTTTGCTGTATGTATATATTGCAAAATGGTTACCACAATAAGTTTAGGTAACATTGCCACACAGAGTTATAATTTTTTTTGTTGTGGTGAGAACTTGTAGTGTTATCTTTGATAACACCACAACCAGAAGAACCCTACTCTTTCTATTTCTCCCTAAGCCCTTTCCAGAGATCATTATAGTATGCAAGAGGTGTTACTTACATCTGTATGCAGTAAATGTGCAAGGCCAATGGCAAGGAGGATTAGGCACAGGACCTTTTTGGGAGAGTAGGCAAAAGGGGAACAGTATTTGTGAAAGAAGCACCTCTTTCAAAGCCTTGGAATATTCTTATTCTCTCAGATGGGAACAAATAAAAAGAAAAATTATGTAGGGAATTCTTATAGATAGAATTGCATAGGAATGGAAGAAGTACAGTAATATCTGGGAAAGGAACTTAACCCTTTTCAGGAAGCCTAACAGTTAGGTTTGAAGAAAAAAAGGCAGAAGGTAGGAAGTGAGAAAATATTAAGGATTACTGTGGTTTGGGGATGATAGGATTATATGTCAGAGATGAGAAGGTGAAGAGTTTACGAACAGTAGAGTGATCCTGGGAGGTTGTGTGTTTAGAGAATAAAAAGTACAGAATGTTAGATGAAAATGATTGCTGTTGGCTTCCTATGTAATTTTTGCTGCTAGAAGATGTCATGATTTTGACATTGCAGACCCTTTTTTTTTTTTTAAGATTTTATTTATTTATCAGAGAGAGCATGAGCAGGGGGAGCAGCAGGCAGAGGGAGAAGCAGGCTCCCTGCTGAGCAAGGAGCCCGATGTGGGACTCGTTCCTAGGACCCTGGAATCATGACCTGGGCTGAAGGCAGATGCTTAATTGACAGAGCCACCCAGGCGTCCCATTGCAGACCCTTTTTAAATGGGCTTGGAGATACAACATAACCCCTGCCAGGAATCCACAGTCTACTACACTTTGGGAACCACTACTCTACA